AATTGAAGAAATTGTAGTTGGGCCTATTGTTGTCTATTTTTAGCTATGCGGACCCAAGTTATCCTCTATCTTCTAATTTCCTAATGTCATTGAGGTGCAAAGCTGGCTCGCCTCCTCGGGGTGCACCTTGGTTAACAATAAACAACTAGCACAAATGGCAAGAAGAAATCATATCATATCACCGCAAACACATGCTTTTCAAGCAAAAATGTTAACAGATTCAAAAAACATTCAAAATGGATCTTCTCAGAACTTTAATATTAGAAAAATCGAACCTTCAGTCTGTATTTACCAAGTGAATATAGAGGGAATACGCAAAGCCAAATGTGAATGCCTTCTAAATTATTGACCGACACTGACGTCGATGCTGTGACCCTGCAAGAAACCCACACTGATAGCCAGAAGCAATTCCAAAAGAGACGAATCATTCCTGGGCAGGCACGGCCATCCTATGGATCAGCCACATACGTTAAAAACTCTATAAAAATGCCTAACTATTGTCACAAATTACCTATAACAGATGCGAAAGAAGACCGAATTACGCGTTCAGGTTTCTGTGACCTTCAGAAAGAGTTCATAGACAATCCGCATCAATGTATAGTTTGGGTTATTATTTGTTTGGGTGAAAATAATCTGCACCAATATGTTATCAAGGCATACAAAAAGGTCCAGAGACTTCGAGACATACGAAAAATCAAGTCCATTTAGCGTGTGTCGCAATTTTCACACCTTAAAAAATTAGTTTTTTATAGCTATAGCAACTGCAGCGACTATGAAAAAAGCTGTATGATTTTCATAGAAAATAAGGGCACCTGTAATTCATTTGAGAATGTTATAATTCGCTAAAAGAGGTTTCAAATCTGTTGGATTTCTATTAATATTAAATAAATTTTATTAAAAATTGAACTAAAATTGTTAGTATCATTAAAAACAATTCAAATTCAAAAATTGTATCAGTCAAATTCCCTCATTTAAGGTGAATATTAAAGTAAATATACAGCTCATTCTAAGCTCATACTTATCTTTAAGAAAAATTTAAATCATTGTTGCAATTGGGCCTTAATGCCATTTCGAATGAACAATAGTATTAATAATGTACATTATAATAATAATAAATTTTATATCATAGTGTGTATTAAAACTACTAAAACACTTTTAAATTGGTATTATATTAACAACTTTTGTTTTTTCATCCAAAAAAAAGTTACCAGTTTTCTCAATCAAAATATTTGCTCCTGAAAAGGACCTTCGTTTTCCCATGTTCGTCAAGGTAGGTAATGGGTAAACGGTAAAAAAACAGGATAATGAAATTTAAAATATTACAAAAATTGTTCAAAAGTGCCTCCCTCTTGCATTAAACAATAACCCAAACGATCATAAAATCCCCTCCTCACATTGGATAACATATCAGGGGTGACAGTGTCAAAGGCATTAAATATTTTCTGCCTTAACTGCTCCAAGTTTTGAATTTCTTCATAGCCGTAAATTTTAGATTTTATTTACCCCCATAAAAAGAAATCATTCACCGAGAAGTCAGGTGAAATTAAACGTCAGTCTAAACAAAACTGTCATTTCTGAAAACTTGTCAAAATTTGGACACACGCTAAATGGACTTGATTTTCCTATGTCTCGAAGTCTGTGGACTTTTCTGTATAATCTCGCAGTAATTTAATAGATTGTTCGTCATATTATATCAGCTCGTAGGTGATTAGGAAAAAAAAGATATTTATAGTATAAAAAATTAATTTATTTAACAAAATTTAATTAAAGATGTGACAAAATAGTTACATTTCTATTGGTTCTATCGGACTTTTTTCAACTATATAAATCTTTATTTTTTGTAAACTTTAATGAATAAAATATTTTCAATCTAATAAATAATTTAATGATGTAAATAAGAGGAAATTTCTCACATGGGTGGTCAAATTCTATAGTTTTCATTATATCAAACAGCCTCTGAACGTTTTCTTCAGTGCAAAACTCATCAAAATTTAATTTAAATAATTTTTCCAGCCTGTAAATAAAATGAACAAATTTTTCCACTTTCATGATCAAAGGCTTTTAAATGGGTAAATAATTTCGAGTTATCCAGAGATTCGGATTTTTTTGCAAATTTTAGACAAATATCACATTGATGTATTTGAACACCCTTTTTAATGATGTAGTCAAACATAATTAAAGGCATTTTGAGTTGAAAACATTTCTCAGAGGCTGTTTGATATAATGAAAACTATAAAATTTGACCACCCATGTGAGAAATTTCCTCTTATTTACATCATTAAATGATTTATTAGATTGAAAATATTTGATGTATTAAAGTTTACAAATAAAGATTTATATAGTCGAAAAAAGTCCGATAGAACCAATAGAAAGGTAACTATTTTGTCACATTTTTAATTAAATTTTGTTAAATAAATTAATTTTTTATACCATAAATATCTTTTTTTTCCTTATAAATAAACACATTTGCATCCCATTTTGAATAAGATATACAAATTACCAAAATTTAGAAATAACAGTTCAAAAGTTCAACAAAAATCCTACACGCGTTTTTAAAAAGAAACATATAACCACGTACTATGTCATTCCAGCAAGCGAATACGACACAGCATAGGTTTCCGGACTAAACGACTGGTGTATTTACACCACTCAATAGGCGTGTCGGGTTTGCCGAGCGGTTTCCGATGCAGTCGCTTTCTTTCGCATCTCTTATAGGTAATTTGTGCTATTGTCATCTGACAATAGCACAAATCTCTCTGCATTGGCAACATTCATAGGATTACCATCAGGATTGGCTCTCTAACCAAGACATTGGTGATTTATACACATTTGTCGTATTTTTATGTCATTATTTATTTGTCATGGTATGGCATGATTAATAAACTAAAAATAACTTTATTTCCGGGTTGGGCAGCACCACTTAGTGTGCTTCATCCAAAACTCTTCGTTGCTCTGTTCTGGGCCTTTTTTACTCGAGGGCTTCAGCCAACATACAATATTCATATTGTGCACCTGTCTGGTTAAATATCCCCTCAGCCTACATAGATAGATGTACATCTAAACAACTCCTTAAGAAAAATCTGTGGTACCATCAAATCACATACATACAACAAACATCAAACACATGCATCAAATCACATACATACAGACACGCATCAGAAGATGGTCACGCAAGGCGTTTTCTTTCATGAGCTTTTCTGTGACTGAAAAGCGTGATGTTATCTGTCTACCGCACTCCGGACATTCAAAAATCTCATTGCTTTGTTGCCTCTTAGCTTTTTGGTTGTCTCTGTTAACTGAGTTTACAATTCTTCTCCATTCCGTTCTTTTGTGAGCTGCGTCTTCTCACTCATTCTGTTTGATAATCCCCTTTAAGTTTTCGTGGAAAATATCCTTGTACCTTTTGAGTTGTCCACCCGGCCTCCTCTTACCGTCTACAAGCTCACCGTAAAGCAGAGATTTTGGTATGCGGTTTTCTTGCATTATACATACGTGACCAGCCCAACTTAAGCGGGACGTATATAATCATGTCTTCAATACTCTCGCAGTTAGCTTTTTCAAGGACCGATACGTTTGAGACATGATGGAACCATTTGATTCTTAACCCTTAAGTACTCGCATGACGCCTCGCAGGCGCCTAGTAAACTTTAAACTTAGATGTATTTTATTGCTTCATACATACCCAAATGGGCCTTTGTGTATTCCTGGAGGCAATATTTAAATAGACTTGAAAATTCAATATAATATTAATTTGTTTCAGGTAATATTATAAACAATGCATCCTCTGGTGCTTCTACTGCCTGAGCTATATATGACCTAGGTCAAAAAATATTCACTAAAAACAAATATATTTTAATTGTTCAGATTATATGTTCAGACATTCGAAAAATGTGTGTAATGAACGTTTTCAAAATTATTAATTTTGGTCTAGCTGCACTAGGTTTAAATTTTGCCGATATTTTGATATTCATATAAACCCTTTATGTAAGCAACTTTTATTTAAGATAAACGTATTACATATTCATCATTCATTACGTATTCATTATCTTTCAATGCCTAAATATTCCTATTTAATTTACGCTGCCGCACAATCTGGCTGCAACTGTAGCACGGGATGGCTATGGCACTGCGACGATAGTACCCTTGTGCATTGAAATAGACTTCTCGGCCGGCTAGGAGTAGTTTCTTCCCCAGAAAAAAAATCTATCAAATCACACCTACTTTCTGGCTGCCTACTCTGTGCAATATATCACCAGCTCATCTCCGCCGATCAAGGGCTCTCTAAGATTTAATGTTAGTTTTGTCATTAGGATTAAGATTTTAATTGTTCATGTCATGTGTTGCCACATGCTAAACAAATAAATCGTAGTATCATGGTCTCATCTCAGGTTCGGTCTTTCTAGGTCTCTTAATTCCTCTGAAGATTTCCTCTGTGGATTACATCTATTATCCGAGTCTTTTGTCGTATCCACCCTATTCTTTTACGGTCTCTCTTGGTTATTCCCAGCAAATTTCGTTCCATTTAGCGTTACGCTACCTGCAGTTTCCTTATGATGCCCGTTTGAAAGTCTTCTCAAAGTTTATAAAGGCTATGGCTAGTGGAAGTTCGTATTCTTTTGTTCGGCTGATAGTTTCTCTTTATAGTATTATTATATATTATATACGGGATTTGATTATGATAGACACTGACTGTCTGGTAATAAATAATACAGCTACTGCTGCTTCCCCGTTCGCCTTCGCCAAACCTCTGTATCCAGTGCATCCAGTTCCTTTAGATCTCTGGATACCATCGCTTGTGTTGGACTGTGTTGTTTCACGATTTTCTTGATCTACCTCGCCTTTTTCCTTGTGGACTGAAACAGTCGCTTCGACCATTGATCTTCCGGCATTATTAATAGATGGCCAAACCACTTCACCTTTAAGTGGTTATTAAATGTAAAATGCGTTATTTTATTAAAACAAATATTAATTTTAATGAGGTTAAATAATACACTACAAAATAAGACACCAAAATTGTTTTATTTACAAAATATAATATTCAATATAAAAAAAAATATAAATCATAACTATAAAACAGTTATGAAAAATTTGTTTTCACATTTAAACACTTAAATATAATTTATTATAAATACCTACATACACTAAATTGGATGCTTAAAACATAAAATGAATTACTTTATCACCATTTTTCCTCGACTAAAAATTACAATTGAACTATTTAAATCACTAAAAACTTATCACAATACGCAGTCAGTATTAATTATAATGCTAATGTTTAAATATTTCAAAATCAATCAAAAAAATGTATTGCGCTTTTCTATTTCCTCGTACACTGATTATTAGATTATTCTACTTTTAATATTATTACTGAAGGCAAGGAAATTAATTTTTCGTCGCATGTTGATTGATTAATATCTAAAATATTTAGACACTATTTATATATACAAATGAAACTAAAAATATATTAAGTTAGTTGTAACTAGGAATACTTAAGTATGACATCTTCAAAACGACATTTTAATACATGTTACTTCACTTTATATTTTAAAGCACAGTAACCTAGCAATCTAAATACAAGTAAATTTACTATAAGCCAACCAAAATCCGTCCAGTAACTGCATTCATCCATACCAATTTCATGCAGAACTTCGTTTGGATTGGTAAACATACAATATTCTTCTTCTTCTGGACAAATTAGCTTTCCTCTATTGAAACCGTAAATAGCTTGCAAGATACTTTCCATGCAGAATCTCATATATGATAAATTTGATAAGTAATACATCACATTGTTCATTTGAGGGAACAAACATAGAAATCCACCGAAACAGATGTTAACTGCTGTGAGAATAGCTCCAAGGAATGTTCCGTTCTAAAAAAAAATGTAAACATGAAACTAAGTTAATTCAGAACACAGATATTTTGATATTTTGTCACATGATATTTTTCATTATTTATTTAGACAAAATTTGACTTTGGCTATAACTTTTATTTCAATTTTCAACTTAAGTATTAATAATTATGCGTAATTAATAAATTGCTAAAAGGTTTTTAGTATCAAATAATTTTAAAAAAATATTTGAAAAAGTTGTTTCGATATTAATTTTAAACGAGTGTACAAATTTTCAACCATATGGGTAACACATATTTTCTTCATCATCTTTAACCAATATCGGCAATGTAAAATTTGACTAAGGAACTTATTAAAGTCTAACTTAGTAAGGTCTAATAAATGACTTACCACTGGGTTAACAATTGTTCCAAACATAGTTCCAATGCCCGCAGATACTAAAGTTGCCATAGAATGTATTAAAAATACCATTAAAAATCGGCGAATCTCTAAAGGTTGTGAACTTATTGTATAAGATCCTATTGTGTAGGCCAAAGTAAACAAAATCTGAAAAGAAATATTATTATTTTAGATATAATTATTTCTCTTATTTATTTTTATTAAAGTAAATTTACAGAAAATTGGTTCTTGAAAACTAAGCTTATATATATTTTTTTCTTCTTTTAACTGTATTTTTTTCAGCTACCAAAACTTAATAAAAGAATGCACTTTTCTTATAAGATATATCAAGTTTACAATCATCACGAATAAGGGGGAAATTCTGCATATTCTAGAGGAGTTTTACGTGGAGCTGTATAGGGATCTCCATGCCAGTAAAATACTCTTGATCATCATCAACTCTTAATCATCTTCACCTCCCGCAGATATCAGATGAACAAAAGAGGTTTTATCCCCGGAAAAGGAATAGAGAAGAGATCCTAAATCTTCGACAAACCATAGAAAAAGCGAGACAATCTCTATGTACGAGATGTACCTCTACTTCGTTGACTACTCTAAGGCATTTGATAAGTTAAAATGAAATAAACTCCAGACTATTGGAAAATAGTCCCCAGTTCTAGGAATAGAACTGGGCACTCCACCTCATTAATTTGGCCAAACAGCCCTATGAGAACAAGAATGCTAAAATCCGAGCAAATAACACGTTATCGAGTAGTTTTAAAAATAGGACAGGTGTGAGACAGGAATGTGTACTCTCGCCAATCTTGTTTAATACCTACACTGAATAATAGAAGCAAGGGGGAAGCCCGGGATGTCCACAAAGAACCTCATGGGAAGAAGTGCAAATTTAAAGAGGCAGTGTTCATATCGAGCAATAATAAAATATTTAACAATCCAAGTATGGAAATTTCAAAAATATGGTAACCACTCATAAAAGGCAGGTATTCTCAGACGACCTCATGCTTGACTGTACCCACCCAATCTAGTCACAAAATTAAATCAGTCAATTCTGCGATATTTTGACCATATTGCTAGGAGTGGCACCTCAATAGACAAACTGATGGTGGAGGGGAAGGTACAGGGAAGGCGATCACTTGGAAGGTAAACTCTAGTGGGCCACAACCTGCCCGAATCCTCACATATGGCACAGTGTCGAACAACTTGGTCCGAGGAAGTAAAGGGAATCAACATATGATGTCTCCATACCCTCGCGTAGGGTGAAGACTTGAAGAGAAAACGAGAGTATAGACATCCCGAATCACATCACAGACATTCCATATGTGCAAAATTAAGGTTCTGAAGACATCTCAGATGTAACAGTTTCTGAGATTGATATCGCTCTACGACAAATGAAGAACAACAGGACGACGACGGATAGAGGCGATTAAGGCAGGCGTAATATATGACTGGCAGGTCCATAGCCAACTCTTTACTGAGTGCTTGCTTAGAGGAACAACTCTGGAGCTATGGCACAACGCTGCCATTATAGTTTTCCACAAAATAGGTGAAACCACTGACTGCAGCAGTCTTCAATGCCCAATCAGCCTTCTTTCCCATGCCTATAAACATTTTATCAGAATAATTTCTGCCCGCTTAGGCCCTAAACTCGATTTTTACCAACCGAGAGAACAGGCAGGATTCCGTGTGCATACAGATCAACTGGGATTGGTCTGGTATAAATTGCGATGGTCTTAACTACTGACAGAATAGACGACGCATGTAGAATGTTGGAGAAACTAAACAGTGCTTCATGCCAAGTTGGGCTGGAAATGAACCTGGAAAAAAACTAAATACATGACAAACCTTGTAATGAGCAACTGCACCATGGTAAACTATACTTCAATAGAACACGGTCCTGAGCTGCTTATTGAAAACTGAAGCACATTTTTGCATCAAACATCCCGATATCTCTAAAGCGAAAGATCTTTGATCAGTACGTTCTCTCAGTCCTCACGTACGACGCGAAAACACTCAGAAGTCCAGAAATAAAATCAGAATAGCACATGGAGATGGAAAGAGCAATACTGAGAGACCGTATTACCAACAATACAGTTGTACGCGCCAGTACAAGACAATGTACTAGCGTGACCGATGCTGTGGCTAGGATAAATCACTTGAAATGGAACTGGGCCGGTTACCTGACAAGAATGTCCGATGATGGACAAAGAAAGTTGTCGAATGGTGACCACGGGACGAGGCGTATCAAAATCGAGGGCGGCCACCAACCAGGTGGTCAGACGACCTTAAACGAATGATAACAAATTGGAGGCAAGCAGCCCAAAACCCAAATACTTTTGCAAATGGTATTTTTACAGGAAGCAGTGGACAAGATAAAAGGCTGGATGATGATGATAACAAGTTCAATAAAATTCGTAATTCAGTGATTTAAGACGAAAGAAAAATACAAAGGTGAAAAATAAAAATAATTATAGAAAATAGAGAAATATCCTGAATATGGAAATTAATAATTAAAATTTTGAATTTAGTAACTTTATAATTAACAAATGTCACGTCACTGTAACATAAGAAATGAATGTTCGTTTTATATAAGCGATATACCTACTTCTATATTAAGCGATATACCTACGTGAAATAAAATTAATACGATGAATATGGAAATTAATAATTAAAATTTTAAATTCAGTAACTTCTTTATAAAAACAATTGTCACTGTAACATAAGAAACGAATGTTCATATATACCGAGTGCAAATCTCAAGTGCGTATCTCAAAAGTGGCTCATCCCGATAATTTTTTTATTTTTTCAGTTAAAAAAACGAGATTTGGTATGTTAGTATATGACATAAATTAGGATTGATTGACGTATTCAATTGTTTTCGGCGACTTCCAGTTTCACCGGAAATGACTTAATACCACTCTGAATAGATATGTCAACCTTTGGCATTTTCGCATATGGTGTATTTGAAATTATAACTTGCGGTTCATAACGAAAATTTGACTTGAAATACCAAGTGTGTGGTATCAAATTATTCGTAAAAAAATGCTTTTTCCAAATATGTTAATGAGCCACCCTCGTTCTATTTGAAAAAATTGAGATATGATTAAAAATACGATTTGAGCATTTTCTAACTGGCCAGGACAAGACACTAAAAACATTAGACGATCAAATCTATTTTTCCAAGGTTCCTCGATTTAAGAATTAGTGGTTTTAACATAGCCATGGCACTCTAGATTGAATATTAAAATACTATTTTTTATTAAGCGATACTGTCAAAAGTTGTATATTATGCCATTCCATTATATAATATGCCATTCTATTCAGAATGTCATTTTCTATCGAATAAAGTAAAAAAATACCGTGGGTGCCATTTAAAAATCAAAAGTTGTCGTCATTTCCGGTGAAACTGGAGGTGACCAGAAACAATTGAATACGTCAATCAATCCTAATTTATGTCATATACTAACATACCAAATCTCGTTTTTTTTTTATCTAAAGAAATAAAAAAGTTATTGGGGTAAGCCACTTTTGAGATGCACCCGGTATATTAAGCGACATACGTGAAATAAAATTAATACAAGACACATTTTTTTATCAATATTAATATTTACCTGGAGGGGAAAATCGGCTGCTAGGAACGAGGCATAATATGTTCTGAGCTTGTACCAACGGTTAAAATGTTCTTTTCTTAGAATCTTTAATTCGGAGGGAACTGGAAAAATTAATATAATCTAAACAACATACTTAATTAATAACTTATTAACTTAGTTCCTAATGTTAAACTCAAGATGGTTCGATAAATATACTCATTCAAATTTATCTTTAATTAAATCAAAATAATAAACTCGGGTACAGTGTATGCTCGAGTATATGTTATTAGCTATATGTAATTATTTCAATCAATTGTGATTTTTTGTATCGTTCAAAATATTTTATTATTAGTTTCTAATCTAAAAACTGATATACTGAAAGAGATATTTAAAAGAACTACTTTACTATAATCAAAACCCAAAAGAGAGGTATCATATGATCGAAAAATGGAAACACCCTTTTCTATAGGAGATAGACGAAAACTAATATCGGTGTCTGGAGCTCAATTTTCATCAAAACATGATGGTGAAAACCGCACATCAATATCTGTTACCGTTTCGGAGTTACGGTTACGGTTTTTCAAAAATGTGCATTTTTAACAAATCGCTGTAACTTTTTTGCTATGGAAAATTTTGTTATTCTATGAAAACATTTCCAAAGCACCCTTTTACGTAGAATTTAATGGTTTAAGTATATTTTTTTATAATTAATAATTTAAGAGTTATCAATAGAAAAATTGATTTTTTATTTGGGACACCCTCTATATTTTTAATTAACTCAAAAGAATTTAAAATTACCTTTCCAAAAATATAGCACAATTGATATTTTGTTATAATCCCCTTCGAAATACAGAATTTTTAAAAGTTCGCCACTTTTAACTAGTAGGCTTTGGACCCCTTATTAATGATATGCCCTTAATGGAACTCGAAAACATATTTTTCCAGCAAGACGACGCACCGGCTCTGAACGCTAAAGTTATCAGCAAATTTTTGCAGCCAATTTCAAGAATAATTGAATAGCTAACTAAGATCCTAGCCGTTGGCCGTCGAGGCCGCCTGACTTAGTGCCCATGGATCTAATCCTATGGATATATTTGCGGAAGAATAAAGGTCTGTCATTCTTCTGTATAATCTAGACAAGAATTAGAAATACTTAGCAGTCATGAGAGGCCATCTTTCACCCCCATTGAGTTAATGAATTCCGCGAGAAATGTTCAAAAACTACCCCGTCTGTCCATAACAGAAGACGATCGGTATGTCGAACACCTGTAGCAAAATCTCATGTCTTGGTTTGCTATTTATTTTTATTGTTATTAGATATAGTTTAAATGTGTTGATGTTGCTTAAATATATTTTAAATTGTTATAAAATTCTGCATCTCTGATAGAAAATATTATTTTCGTTTTAATTGATGCTCACAGCTAGAATTTTTTTGCATTACAGCCGGTGCCGTTCAAAGCCTACTATTTAAAGCGGGCGAATTTTGTGTGAAGTGTGTTATATTTTTGGAAAGGTGATTTTAAATTCTTTTCAATAAATTAAAAATATACAGGGTGTCCCATATAAAAAATCAAATTTTCTGTTGATAATTCTTAAATTATTAATTTAAAAAAATATACTTAAACCATTAAATTCTACGTAAAAAGGTGCTTTGGAAATCTTTTCATAAAAATACAAAATTTTCCATAGCGAAAAAGTTACAGCGTTTTTTTTTTAAATGAACATTTTTGAAAAACACCCCGTAACTCCGAAACGGTAACACCATCATGGTTTTGACAAAAATTGAGCTCCAGACACCGATATTAGTTTTTGTCTATATCTTATAGAAAAGGGTGTTTCCATTTAAAAGCGTCGAATTTTAACCACCCTGTACACGTCGGCGTCAGAATTGGTTTGAAAATGACAATCAAAGCTATTCACCATATAATTTTACAGAGAACTTTATATATGGATATATTTTACAATATGGTCATTAATCGTCATATCCAAATCAATTTTGGAAACGTATTTTTCCGATCGTACTACCTATAAACTACTTTTCCGAACTACTTATAGGTAAACATAGTTGAATCTACATAATACTTACATCTTAAAGCTGCTGGCATGAGAGCGGTATAACTTAAATATACAACGCTAACCATAAAGAAAGATAGATTAGTGATAAATTTTGATGCATTGTATCCGCTGTTTTGAAAGGTTACGCCCAAGAATATTCCTACCAAAAAATGTAGTATAAGTTTTATTCTGGCAACTGTCTGAAACGAAAAATTAAAAGTTTATATTTATCTAAAGCGTTACCTGGATATACAGGGTGGTCCGAACTGTATTCCGGAAACTTCGGCAGCATATTCTGCAGATAAAAATAAGTAAAAAAGTTCGTATAAATGTATGTCCTAAAATGCTTAGTTTCGGAGATACAGGCTGTAGAAATTTCATTTTTATTTCGATTTTTTCCAAATAATTTATGAAGCAACGAGTTTTTTGACATTAGGAATTTGATTTTCACGTCAACACGACTCCTATATGTAAGGTTCGCCTACATGTATTTTAACTGTTTTGAAGAGTAATAACTTTTCGTCCGTACCTGTATAAAGCTACTAAGTAAAAAATATATATTTACGGCTTTTTTTACGTAAAAAAGGTCTCTTGGTAAAAATCGCTACGAGTAATGGTTCTCGAGATATTTGGAGTCGTAATTATCAATACTTGACATAAATTAAACATGTTGACTAAATAGTTATTAGACTGAAATCATAAATTTGAAATGTTTTTGTGCCAAAAGTTCAACAAAAACTGTTTCATCATATCATTTTTTCGCAGAAAAATTTATAATTAATTTAAAAAAATTAAAATTTCACAAATTTATTGTTTCAGTCAAATAACTATCTACTCAACGTGTTAATTTTTAGTCAATAACAATATGTATTGACTATTTTTATTCTAAATATCTTGAGAACGGTTGCTCGTAGCGATTTTTACAAAGAGACATTTTTAACGTAGGAAATCAAGAAAATTTATATTTTTTCACTCAGTTGTTTCATACAGGTACGGACGAAAAGTTATTACACTTCAAAACAGTTAAAACACATGTAGGTGGTGCCCTCTACAAGTAGGAGTCATATTGATATCAAAATCAAATTTCTCATATCAAAAAACTCCCAGACACCAATTTTCATGCAAATATGATCGTTACTTCAGAAATTATTTAGAACAAATTGAAATAAAAATGAAACTTCTACAACCTGTACTCCGAAACTAAACATTTTAAGACATACATTTATACAAACTTTTTTACTTATTTTTATCTGTAGAACATGCTGCCGAAGTTTCCGGAATACAATTCGGACCACCCTGTATAAATCAAACTATAGAACAAAATAAGGTTTATTTTAAAACATAATATTATATTTCAGTTATTAGAATATTTCAAGATATTAAATGATATTCAACAGTAACTCTACTAAAACTATCTGCCCGAAGAACTAGTACTGTTGGGCCTTAGAAATTTTCTGAATTTAAATTATTGCTAAAGATGGATATTGAAAACTAGAGATGGGAACTATTTCCGAATCATTCTGACCAAGCAGAATTCGTTCATTCGATACGTTGAAATAACCGAATCAAGCTGAACGATTCAATCACGATTGACACTACTACTGAAAACCAACTAAACAATTAGATATTATGTATGACTAATAACTCACCCAGTCCCTGTAGAAATAAATTAACTGTTTTTGAAACAAGACCAGAAACCGTGTCCATTCTGATGGTTTCTTTCGAATGCAACATTCGGGGTCTTCTAATAAAATTTCACGTGTTATTATAGCTGGTTCAATGGACATATCTTTTTCTTTGTCTAAAATATTGAATTATTGTTAGTAATTTACTTCATTTATTGGATTACTTTTATTCATATTAATCAAATCACATTTGAGACTTCTTTTAAATAAAAAAAATAAAAAGTTTAGATTGTTATCTGCTACTTCAGGCTTTATATTCAAAAATATTAAATATTAAGCATAAAAGTTCTACAAATTTAAGTAACAAACTAATACAAAAAGAAATAAAATTAGAGTAATGTTTAAAAAAGTATAACAAAGTCGGCTTTAATAACCCTTCAAAATTTTCAAATGTACACTTAGATGCCAAAAAACGCAACGGAAAAATTTTTGGTCTAGTATAAAATGTTATATTTTTATTTAATTTTTAGCCCTATTTCCCTGATTTTTTAGCAAGCTGTATATATCAACTCTAGTTAGTAAACTCAGTTTATTATAAACTTTAGTATTTGACTTATTATACAGGGTTAACCGAAGAGTTGTTTTTACCCTATCTTTAAAACACCCTGTGCAATAATTTCGTGAGAAAATTTTCCTAAAACATTATTTTTCGGTCTCCTGAATATTTTGTTTTTGATTGAGGTGAACACATGACTTGGTTAATTTTTAAGGACAAAATGAACTTGCCACAAACATTTTGCAATTGTTACAATAATTATTGTCGTTACTTTTTGGTGTTATTCTTCATAATGACGAGATGGCTTTGCTGATTATTGTTGTGTACGAAACCTACACAATATATTTGCAGCCTCATTAACAGTATGAACCGACGCGACGCAACGTCTACTGACAGATATAGCAGCCGGGGAAGGCAATACAAAGTATTAGAGTATTTTTTAAGTTCTTTGTTTGTTTGTACACATAGTTATTACAGTCACTTTTTTAAATATCCTTAGTTCTGTTGGTATTACTATTATTTATTAAATATGTATCGTTACTTTTTAATGTTTTTTTTTTTAATTTTCATATATTATAATCAGTGTCGATATGACATTACGACAATAGTCACCAAAGCCACCTCTTGATATTAAAAAATAACATCATAAATTAATAATTGAAAAAATTGCAAATTGTTGATGGCAAGTTCATTTCGCTCTTAAAAATTAACCAAAGCATGTGTTGACATGAGTGAATAAAGAAAATGGTTCTAATCGAAAAATAATGTTTTAGGAAAAGTTATCACGAAACTATTGCACAGGGTGTTATAAAGTTTGGGTAAAAAGGCAACCCTTCAATTAACCCTGTATAATAGCCAAATACTCAAGTTTATAAAAAATAAGTTTATGAAATAAAGTTGATAGATTTAAATACAGTTTTAAAAATAGAGCTAAAAGTAGAAAAATATAACATTTTAAACTTAACGAAAAAAATTCCGTGCGTATTTTTTGGCATTTGAGTATATCTCAATGTTGCTATAATAAAGATATAAAAAGATCAAAACGACAGTAAAACGTACTAAGAAAGATAGCTACCATCTTTTTTCGTTCTACATTTTCATAACACCATGTTATCGAAAAAATTGGCGCCAGAGATGGCTGTCATTTGTTATGTAAAATTATATGAGAAATGCTATAATTTTTAAGCCTACTACACGCCGCGCCGTTTTTTCAATCATACGGTACTATAAAAAATGTCTATACGGTACTATATCTGCATTTACCTTTCTGCTCCTTTATAAAGTTACCTTCACTTGCGGATATTGTACTATAATTCGTGTAGAACGAAGAGGGATGACAGCTATCTCTCTTCCACGTTTCATTGCTATTCTGGTCATATTGTAATACATCTATTATAAATTGGAATACAATTTAATTAAGCATTTAATAATATACATTAATGAAAAGTCTTATGAAATCTAGCCTACTGTTTTTTACTTAAAGGTGATACTGTATCATTCAATTGAGTAAAACATATCGGTTACAAATAATAACGATGGCTGAACTGAAAAAGATTTAGTCCCTATAAATATAAAATGTCTGATTCCACAATATCAATAACTTACAGCATCTAAAATATTGATTGAAGATATGGTTAAACAACTTATATACTAAAGTAAAAATTGTTAACTGTCATTATTTTTCTAAGTACAATTATTGTTCTCCCCATTGTTTGCTCATTCGTTTTTGTTGATTTTATTAAAAGATTTATCTTTTAACAATTAGAACTTTTGACATTTTCAATCTAGAGTATGCAAGTGGAGTAACTGTTTGAACGATACCTATATGGATATAAGAATTCTACCTATAAAAATTCAATTTGATTAATGTCATGCATATATCAAATCTCAATTCTCTAGAGCGAGTAGTTTTTAAATCTCAATAGTGTTGTAATTTTGGTCCAAAAAATCATATTTCTTACAAATTTGTCCCATCAAAGAAAATAATCTACATCCGCCCATGCCGACCAAACATTAGAAATTCCTCCTAATATAACACATTATCATTATCTTTGGTCAGCGAAGGACTCTCATTATACAAAAAAAGGAGATCAAATGTCTTTAATATTATGCTGTTCGATATTATTGGTTTACTACTAACTATCAACTAGTTTCTAGATATATGTGAACAAAATCAATATCAACTTATCAAAATTATGGTTTCCCCTATAACCATTAACTATAAACTATTTACTAACGATACCTTTAAGTAACAAACAGTTTGAGGATATATATTTTAGTACAAATATATTTACTTTATTGCTTATTAGTTGAAAAATACTTGAACTAAAATGTAATCCTCAAAAAATATGGACCGTGGTTTACAATTCGGCTTATTACCCGCTTACTTTCAACTTTACATAAACAGCTTTCTTTGGCAAGGGACAATATATCAACTGAATCCCCATATTCTCCATTTGCTACTTCCATTACTACAATAAAAATATATTTATAAATTACTTGTTAAAAATACGTATATAAAATAAGTCTTTATTCTTTTTTATTTCTAAATTTGTGCTATTTTTTTAATAGTTTAAATTTTGTATCTGGGATACTCCTTTACTCGATCCTTCAAGTTTTATGTTTTAAGTGTGTTTTCCTTTACTTGGGCCAGTTTGATTTCAAGTAAAAAACATCCAGGAACTTGGATTTCGAATAGAATCTACTGAGTGGCATTTTACAAAAAGTAACTACTATTTTTAGGTTTCCAATTGTAGTGGCGAAATGCCCACTTATTTTCAATTAATATTATTATTTCGCTACATTTTTGGGAAGCTCATAATCAGAGAAATAAAAAATAAATATTATACAGGATACCCCATTAAAAAAAAAAAAAAGTTTGAGTCACAATTCGATTTCTACAGCTCTACTAAAAACTAGTTACGCCACTGGATTCTACGTAAAAAATTCTACGGAACTCCGTTTTTACCTTTTCGATAAGTTATAGTGTACCATAGATAACCGAAAAATTCAAAATTTTCAAAAGCCCCCTGTATTTCAGGAACTAAGAGGGCTAGGACAAATATGTATGTAGCATCTTTAATTTCATAAAAAGTAGCATAGTGGGGTAAATATTTGTCTCTCTACTCATAAACGAGGAAGCCCATAAAACACACGAAAATGGGACACCCTGTATTTTATTAATTCAATTTGTACTAAATTTTGTGATGAATTCTTGCATGTTTACGAAAGTTGTTAAAACAATTAGTAATTAAAATCTATTGCAATTTACAAGCTACAAAAGATAATCCAAATACTTAGTGTCCTATTCAATAACCAAATTAACCAAAAATTTTTAGAATTGTTTATATGTCTTTTAAAATTGAGTCATGCATCCAGTTCATACAAGTTTGCAATTAGTTGTTCACACAATGACCAAAAATAATGTACTTACAAAAATCTGCCGGATTATGATACTGTGGACAAATGTAACCAGCTGAGGCAAGAAAAGAAATTGTATTCTGTGGCAAGCCTTGATATATACATTTTCCTTGAGCCATTATATACACGTGATCGAAAGTCATGTAAAGCGGTGCACTGGGTTGATGTATTGTACATATAATTGTCCGTCCTTTTTGGGCCAGTGATTTTAACATTTCTATGCATTGTCTGGAAGAATTACTATCTAATCCGCTAAAAATAAAAATAAATTGAATGACATAAATCGGAAGTGCTTAGCAGTGTATTATTGAAAAATGAAACACTAGTTCACCACAATACACCAAAACACTTTTACTTTTGCACTGGACGCGCGTTTCACTAACAATGTTAGCATCATCAGCAGATGATTAAAACTCCGAATTGCTGATGATGCTAACATAGTTAGCGAAACGCGCGTCCAGTACAAAAGTAAAACTGTTTTGATGTATTGTGGTTTGGCTTTTTATTTTGCTCATGTAACACCAAAGGTTCCAACTTCCAACCGCCAACTGAAATACTATTTTCATATTGTTGCCAAATTACGTGGCCAAGTTACAACAACAAGAAACATTCCTAGAACCTAATGCCGGGTCTAGATCAAGCAGACAAAACAACGACAAGACAGAAACATTCATGTTTTAAGACAAAATTATGACAAATCCATTACATTTCTGCGACATTTTTGTCTCATTTTTGTTTTGTTTCAAAGTTTGGAGACTTTTCAATGTCCCGTCTAGAGTCGGTATAGATCAAAGTGTCTATGTTTTGTTCGTATATTTTACGACAAGGTGTCGGCGCAGTGTGGATGGCGTGTGTTGCCAACAGAAGGAGACAGTGAAATCACACATGGTTAATAAAACTCATTCGCAACAACTAAACTTTTGTCTTTGAGGTGTGGTCTCAAGTTTGTCTTGTCAGAAGTCTCCATTTTTATCGCAAGTTTGTCTTGTTTTTGTCTCAAAATCGTGTTTACTTTTTGTCGCCTTGGTCTGGACCCGGCATTACAGAAACATTCATATACCCTAGTTGATATTTCACGATAAAGCAGAAATTTAAAAAATAAAAAACAATTTTTGTAAAAATTGCCATGATTTTAATCCAAAAAAAACAGCCTCTAGGGGATACAAATTCGTGGAATACAAGCCATAAAGTAAAATTTTCCAAATATAAAGTGAGTGTTTCCAATTCATTTTTAATTCAATGCATAGATGTTAATAATCTATGACTATCCCTATTGCTAATAATATCCTTAGGGTTACTCTTAAATAAGTGCAAATATTTTTATAAGTTAAATATTTTTAGGGGTACTATATATCGACCCCAGAAACACATCTATTGCGTTTTTTACGCGAAAAAAATTAGAAAACTTGTAATTTTTTGAAAAAGAAATTGGATTTTTTTAAAATTTTTATTTAAAAAACTATAATATCTTCATAATATGATAACAGAAGTACTAGATTAAATTTACAAGAAAGAATATCCAGAAAAGATCCAATGATTCTCAAAAATTAAGCGAAAATTCACTTCAAAAAAAGAAAGTAAAATGTGTCGATTATTTTAGACTTATTTGAAAGACAGTAAAGAGAAAATAATATGTTTCTTCTATCTACCAGCCCTGAAAATATATAAACTAAACTTATTTAAGACTCACCCTGTATAACGTTTTCAGTAAGAAAAAAAATATCTCTAATATAGACACCTTAAAGCATTTATCTGTAGACATTATATCGTTATACAGGGTGTCCCAAAAATAAATGCAAATATTTTAAGGCCAAAAGAAACATGCCAACAAAATGTTCTCTTTGCAATTTTTAAAATAAATTGATAATAATCGAGTTATTTAGCTTTGAAAATTTTAAAAATAATGGCATTATTTTGAGAGCTGCCTCCAGCAATCGGTAATCAGTCGCAAATTACCTCCCAATTACCTGGATCTCGGGTTGTTCGACGCCCAGAGTTGACACATCGAGTAGAAATATTTAAAAACGACTTGGAAAATTCAGATTAAAAGTAAAAAACTTACCTAATATTAGAAAACGGGGCTGTTATATCACTTTAACTAAAACCGCAACTCTACTGTCAACAACACTCGATTTCACTTCGATTTTTGACAGTACTACTAATGAAACAAGTTTAGATTCGAAAGTTCCCATAAGGACAATGTAAACACTATTTGGCGCTATTCTTGCAACGGTCGCGACCCTAAACTTTTGAAAATTTCGGAGCGGTTCGGCTTTTTCCGGAATTATATCGCCAAATATTGTTTATTCAAATTTATTATTATTTTCGTTTAATTTTATAAATAAAATACAGTGTGTTGCATATAAGAAACTTTATTTTACATAAGGACACGCATGTATGAGAAATACCTATGAAACATTGGAAACCGACGTTATGCCACGATCCACGATGGTTTTTGCAGTTCACAGCACAGCTTTTTAAGTTTTTAATGCCACTTTTTCACAATTATCACCGGTTGGAGTAAATAAAACTCTATAAACACTTTTCGGAATTTCTTTAATGAGAGCAGTTTAGATTTTAAACGATTATTATGATTTTTGAAGATTCTGACTTTGACAAGAGAAAATTATTTCTGTTTTTGTTTGCCGTTGTTCTTAGCGACCGCTATAGCAGCGCCAGATCGCGTATAACGGTCGCGACCCAAAATAATTTCGCGACCTAAAATTTTTACGGGCTTTCCAATCTACAGTACTACAAAATATGAAAATATCTACGTGTATTATTGAGCACAAAATACATTCACATGATACAAAGAATACAAGGTATGATATTGTGCAGGTTGGTCATTACGTCACAGGTGATAAACGTCACCATTGGTCGGCAAATTCCGCGCGCCACTTTCAAATTGTCAAACGTTCACATTTATTATGGCATCTATAATAAATGTGAAAATAATTTTTCAAATGTCAAGCTCCATGGATTGACATAACTTTTGGGGTTATGTCCTAATTCTTCTCTTTTTTAGGTCTTTTTTTATTAGTGGCAATTGTACAATACGGATATTTTTTTGTTTGGCATATGACGTCACAGGTGGTATGCGCAAGCTTAACGAAATTGGAGCCGCTATCGATCATACCTTGTTTTCTTTGTACCATGATACATTCATATATCTCATCTGAATTGTTTACGATTATTTCTTGACATCTCTCACATTCTTGTTTTTGTAAACCAAAATAATTCATAATTTCTATTTCAATAATAAAAGGATTTTAAAGGCTTACCTTACATTTGCCTATTTTTTAGTTTTTGGTTTACTGTTTTGATTAAAATCTCAAAAGAATTAGATAACCTATAATTCATCAGCTGATCTGTTTAAATGTAGGTCAAAAGTTGAGTAATTACTTATGACGAGGACGTTGATTCGAATAATTCGGCAAGAAGCCAAAGAGAGGTGAAAAAATATTTAATTTTTTCATCATTGTGCTCATCGGCATCGGTGGGAAACTATGCGTCTTGGTGGAATACCGATCTCCGAATATTTATATCATAAGTATAATGTTCAAAGCTGTGTAAATAGTGCAAAATTTGTCAAAAAAAAAGAAAAAAAAATCATATTTTGTTAAAAGCTATAATATGTGATGTTCAGTTTAATAGATATGTGGATGTGCACGTGTTTGCGTAAAGGTGCGTATTCATTATCCGAACGAACGAACGAACGAACGAACGAACGAACGAACGAATGAAAGTGCGGTATATTTAGACGGGGACCGAACGCATGCGGCCGTTCGTTCGTTCGTTCGTTCGCTCGACCATCCGTTTCGAGTCGGTACATCAAAGGCGTTCGCCAACAAATGCCTCCGGTCTTCTCGTGCGGTTCTATCGTACGGTCCCCGTCCATACCACTAGCGAACATTCGTTCGTTCGTTCGTTCGTTCGTTCGTTCGTTCGTGCGGATAATGAATACGCACCTTAAGATATGTTGGATATAAAATACTGTTAGGAGGAGTTAGGACACTGTATTATAGCACAAAGTATTTAAAATATGATTAAAAAATATAAAATGATTAAAAAATCCACAACGAATAAAATTAAGTATTGTTTTTTGTCGAAATTTAAAAGTGTCAACTTATAACTTAGAGAATGTGGATAACGTAGGAAAGGAGTAACGTAACGTAGGAGAAACATTGCATTCTCGCCAAGTATCATAAACAAATGTGAACTGAAAATGTTGAAAATTATAACATAAAATTTTCAACATTTTTTTTTTTCGCAAAACAAACTTCATGGGCGTGTCTCTGGGGTCAAACTTTACTACCAGTTTAAATATTCGCACTTATTTCTCGGTCACCCTGTGTATTAAATTGTTATATGAGTTAAATATTTTAATATAAAGTATAATCGTTGATTGAAAGAATTTGGGCATATACGCAACATAATGGGCGAATTCGTGACAAGGTTGATTTGATTTCCTCTTACTACCCAAGTGCTGTACGGTGGAGCCTCTCTGCGGCCAACGCATAAAAAACTTATTTTCTTTTCTGCTAGCGAAGGCATTTCGAACATGGTGTGGAAAGCGACAGTGTTGCCATATTAAAATGTGTAATATCTGTAATAGGTTTGACGAAAAAATATCTTAGGATGAAAAATCCGCGTTTGTGTATTGAAAATGTATTCGTGTTAAACATAGAAAATTGAACAAAAATAAAAAATTATTTATAGGTACTGAATATTTCGTATGATCGAAAAAAGTCGTTTAGTTCGCTTGGAAATGACAACTATTGACATTTACCATAATATTTTACATATGAATATAATAAACATAATATTATATGAAATTGTTTAATGATAGAAATACCGTATTATTAATGTATTGTACCCAAAATCCGTAAATCGACGGATTAATCAGTAGTTCTGGTAACACTGTCTCCAGCAACCACTGGCTCTATCGACTGAAAGGAGAACTACGGTCGGCTACGATACAGTATTCTTTATCCGCTGCACTGTAAACGACTATCAACGCGCAACGGCACTAAATCTTGGAATTCTCGGACAGGCTGACGGTAACGCCAGCTACATCTCGGACAGGTTTTGTGCCACGAAATCGGATGTAAGGTTGCGCATCTTCTTATTTCTTCAATCAATAGTATAATCAATTTTACACGTGAATATCGGCAACAGTCAATATCAAGGGCACACAATTATTTGTTTTTGCGGTAATCGACCAAATATTTTGATGTGAAAAAACTTACGTTGTGGGTTCATCTAAAAACATTATGGGCGGATCATCGATCAGTTCCAGCGCAATTGATAATCTCTTCTTTTGTCCCCCCGATAAACTTCCACATGGTGTTCTTTTCTGTTTTATTAATCCAAGAGTTGATAATATATCGTCTATCTTAAAAAATAAAAATTTAAATATACCGATCGGTTAACCTAGTTAATCAGAAAAAATAGCATGTTGTCAATTTGTCACCATTTGTTTTCATTTGCAACACCTTTAATAAAAAAAACTTTTGTTTAAGTATGTAGGAGGATATATTTCAGGATATATTTCAGAAAAATATTTTAACTTCTACAGGGTGACTTAAAAAGTCTGAGTCGATTGGGATGATTTTTTTAAATAGAACAACACCCTGTATTTTACTGTATTGTTGGCTTCCCCTTTGATCACTTTATAAAAATATTTAGACTCAAATATTTAATTCCAAAAACATAAGTATGCAATAAGTACCTCTAGATATTGGAGGTATCTGGTACCTTTTAATGCAAGGTAAGACAGAAATAGGCATGTGAATTATAATGCTTTTGACAATGAAACCTTGGTACTCTGTGCATATTGTGTATAGCTTAGCTAACGTGATATACAGGGTGGTTCGAAATGTATGCCGGAAATTTCGGCAACATATTCTGCTTATAAAAATAAGTAAAAAAGTTCGTATAAATGTATTTAGTTTCGTAGATACAAGGTGTAAAAATTTAATTTTTACTTCGATTTTTTCTAAATAATTTCTGAAGTTACGTCAATATTTCGATGAAAATTGGTGTCTGGGAGTTTTTTGATATGAGAAATTTGAGTTTGATGTCAATATGACTCCTATTTGTAGGGGGAGCCACCTACATGTGTTTTAACTGTTTTGAAGAGTAATAACTTTTCGTCTGTACCTGTATAAAACTACTGAGTGAAAAATTTACATTTACGCCAATTTTTACGTAAAAAAGGTCTCTTGGTAAAAATCGCTACAAGTAATGGTTTAAGATCAAGATATTTGAAATCGAAATTAATACCTGCCATCATTGACGTAAGTTAAACATATTGACTGAATAGTTATTAGACTAAAATCATAAATTTGAAATGTTTTTGTGTCAAAAGTTTAACAAAAATTGTATTATCATCATTTTTCCGCAGAAAAATTTATGATTAATTTAAAAAAATAAAATTTTCCAAATTTATTATTTCAGTTAAATAACTATCTACTCAGAGTGCTTATGTTTTGGTTAATAATGACATGATTTAACTATTTCCATTCGAAACATCTTGAGAAAGGTTGCTCGTAGCGATTTTTACCAGACATTTTTTAAGTAAAAAGTGACGAAAATGTATATTTTTTGATCCAGTAGCTTTATACAGGTACGGACGAAAAGTTATTACTCGTCAAAACAGTTAAAACACATGTACGTGGCGCCCCCTATAAACAGCAGTCATATTGACATCAAAATCAAATTTCCCATGTCAAAAACCTCCCAGGCACCAATTTTTATCCAAATATTGACGTTACTTCAGAAATTATTTGGAAAAAATCGAAATAAAAATGAAACTTCTACACCCTGTATCTCCGAAACTAAGTATTTTAGGACATACATTTATACGAACTTTTTTTACTTATTTTCTTCTGCCGAATATGCTGTCAAAGTTTCCGGAATACAGTTCGGACCACCCTGTATACAAAGTACCGGATGGGCAACTAAAAACGGACATCGGCTGTATCTCAGAAATTATCGTACACTTTTGGGAAAGGACATATTCTAATAAGTAAATCGGATAAGAAAAATAGCAGCAAATTAATTTCATGTTCAAATGTCGGCTAAGGAACATATCTTACTGCAAATCACAAAACCGGATTTTTATCAAAAATATGCACATGAAGTGGTATATTATGTAAATATTCCCATTTTAATTAGTGGAAAATGTGTTTTCTTTTGTGGGGGCAACGGCCCAGCTACGCCGAAACACTAGTTTTTTTACATAGAAGCTTCGATTCCGCGAGACAGTACTACAGCGAAACTGGTGATTAATATGGCGTGTTTTACAGAAAATTTAATCGAATTGGTAAATAAATACCCAATTTTATATGACATGAAAAATCCCGAATATAAAAACACTAGAAAACGGATTGAAATATGGGATGAATTAGGATCTTCCGGACTAATCGACTCTCTATAATTTGTATCATTTTTACAAATATATTCTCTAATAAAATTTAAGATCTCTTCGAAACAGTCACTTGGCATTTTAAAATATATACAAAATCGTTTAGGATCTATTTGCAGTCTATGGCATTAACGTGTGAAATTCGCCATAAATTATTCGCTGAACATCAAACCTTGTTCGTTTCTCATCTTCAGCTGCTGCAAGCAAAAGAAGAGCTTCTTTATCAGATAACGAGAACATTTGTATAATTTCTTGCTCTAGCCACAAAGTAAAAAAAATCGTTTTTTTTTTGCCGTGCATAAATCTGCGTTTTCTACATCCCGCAATCTGATACTGGCGTCACCGCTCCCGCTGTACCGCTTTGGTCTGGGCAATCGTGCGATTCCGGTCTCGCAAAATATTTATATATCGTAAACAATCAGCATATAGACTTGGTGCATTTCAGTTGATTTCAAAAAATTCCGATCCCACCGCTCTATATGGCAGAAATCAGAAGCTTTACGAGGCAAATACGAGGTTTGTTTGATATAACGCTGTTTCGGGTAGTAAAAAGTAAGTGAAAAAGAACTCGAACTCGGCATTTTGTTTGAGTTTGTTTGTTACTCACTTGTTTCGTCGAACTGCTTGAATCCCTTTTTGCTTTTGATCAAATCGGTGCGAAAAGCTGTAAACTATATGATGTTGTACCGGAAGAGTTGAATATCCGGAAAATTTGAGTTATTAAATGTTATTGCACCCAACAGCCACGGAATTACGGCCTCCTTTACGCGTTAAGATTTTTTCGACAATTCTATTAACATTTGAAATTGTCACAATACAACGCAACGCCCAGTTCGAGTTCTTCTTCACATCACACATACACATACCGCGTATCTCATTAAACGTCGTATCCTCGGTCGTATCTGAGTGTTTTATAGTTTCAATAACTGCACTAGCAAAAAACTAAAATACTAAAATATTGTCACAAAGTCACTATTTCCATATTATTTTAATGTGATCAACATGAGCTGCAACCGGATCGGAATTTTTTGAAACCAACTAAAATGCACCAAACCTACAGCAATACTTAAAATGGGTACCTCTTCAAGTGCATATTTTTGACAAAGATATCTTTATTTGATATCTTTTATTGATAACCGATGCCATAAAATATATAATTTTCGAACTTGAAAATAATTTCCAGCGATTTGTCTGGGTCGATTTACTTATTAGAATATTTTCCCGCTGTTATACGTAAGTAGTTTCTGAAATACAGACGTCATTCATTTCTTAGTTGGTTATCTGATCCATGTATTACATAGAGGCTATTAAAATTAACTACCAATTTAGCAACAAAACTGTTGTTTATTTTTTTAAGTTTCCAACACAGCCTACAGTTTACAATACTCTCTTTAAAAAAATGTTATTAATATTTCAAAAATGACTTTTTTACCTATATTTAACACAATAAATAATTATGTAACATACTATTTGATTGTAATTAAATACGAATATTTAATATGCATTTTCGGAATGGCATCTATTTTGTTCAATATTTTGCTTCTAATCTCAAAGAAAATATACATACATACATATCATATATTATGACAAGCATGAATCACAAGATTGGTTCGTGACATGTTCGTGATCCACGTGATTATATTTTCCGCTGCTTATTAGGTATTTTATATAAGATAATTGAATAATTGACATAATTTCCTTAATCAAGATTGAAAAATAGTATGAAATAAAAAAATTATAAAAAATATTATGTATAATTTTAATACCAAAATAGGCAATTATTGCCACGTACCTTCTTAAAGAAAACACAAAACTTTAATTTGCCAACGTGATAGATATTATTTAAGTATAGTACAGTATTATATTTGTAGTATATACCTCACCCTTTCTTTTAGGTAGTATATATGTCATGTATATGTTAATTTACACTAAATGAATTATAGAAATATAAATAAAAAACTACTAAATTTAGTGAGGATGAAGTCAATAATACCCACACTTTGCCCACACATGCTAATACAACTACTTTTCAATTTCTCAAAATTTCGACAAATTTATTTCCATCATCAGGACAGAAACATCATTCCATTCTTCTCAAAGAGACGTGGTTTAAGTTGAAAAAGAAGTAGAAAAAAGAGAGAGAAAAGAGTAGAAAAAAAGACCAAGACTGTGCCGAGACTTTCAGTCTTTTTTCTACTTCTTTTTTTCAGTTTGATGTGTTAATTTAACAAAACAACATCCTATCCATAATACGGTCTTACAAATTAAAATCCCCATTGAACATTGGAATAACAAATATATTTCTTTATAAAAATATTCAAAATACAAATAAATCAAAATACAATTTTGTAACTCAAGTTACTCATAAAAAATTGCTGCATTGTTGTTTCGATCTTGATCAGACAGTAACTCAAACAGTACAGAGTTACTGTCTGACCGCTGAAGCTTTAGAAATTGAAAAATAGGTACAAAAAAACGATGAATCTTTTTGCGTGTCCAGATTTTGAGCATTAATTTTCGTCACGCATTTATAATTAACTCATTTACTTTAAGTAAATATTTTACAAATATCTGCCTATACATATTATTTACCAAGTATATGTTATATTTTTAAGTCGCTGCTTTCAGATGACAAATAATAGACTTGTCATATGTAAGCAACGACTTAAAAATTTGGAAATAGACGATGCCATTTCCTCCAAATTCGCTTCAATAATATTTCGATATAGTCGATATATGTATAGAGGGTGGTGACAATTTCGATACTCAACATTGGCATCTCAGAAACTACGAGAGATACGAAGCGGTTATATGGGAGAAAAGAATAGAGAATGGGAGAAAAGCGTAATTAGAAGTTTGACACACACCTATGAAGAAAACCCCGGTATCTTGATTAGTTTCGGATTTATGTAAAAAAATGAAAACAATATGTTTATTTTAAATGACAATATCTTTAAAACTATTGTATCTATTGAAACGTAAGTTGGTAGTTTCATATTTTTGACCTCGGCCAGTTAAATGCCGTTTTTAGAAAATTTCTACGCCTTCTAGATTTCGCACAACAGTCAAGTTTATGTTTTCTTATGGCCGCCATTTTGAATTTTTATACAATTAGATAGAGCGAAAAAAAGTCTATACGGTGGTATCTAAAAAAAATATTCATTATTATGTAAATTCACTAAAAAAATTGATTTTTTAAAAATTCGCCTAAGATCAAGTCTGCCTTGGAAATCCAATTGACTCTTTATATGTCAGCAAGTTATTTTTTGTTTATTCTATTAAATGTCAAATCTGGACGCACAAAAATTGTATAGTAGAGTTCAATATAAGCCAATACAAGGAATTGTATTAAAATGACTGTCTCATATCCTTTGAACCTTGTTCAAAGGATATCAGTATATCACCAAATCAGATTATTTGTGGTCTGGTTTCTCTAATTAAATAACGATTTTATTTTGCATAATAATGTCAATTTGTAAATAAAGATTCATCCGTCTATAATATTTTTCAAAAAAAGGGGGTTTTCTTGAACATTTTCCCGAAACCATTTGCAAAATTGTAATCTTCACTTGTGATCACCAGCATGTAAAAAAATGTAAATTTGGTACACATTTAATTTTTTATATTTATCTTACCTATGTTTTTTGATAATTTTCCCTACATAAGAATCGCTTATACAACACTCGCGACCTATTTTACGGCTAGAAATTTCCGGACTTATTTCTATCTGAGCTGGCATATTAATATTAAGTCAGTTAATATTAAGCCGTTAAGTCTTTTAAAATATTGCCCTCTTGTTTTTTAAAGCTACCAGAAACTGCTAAATTTCTTGAAATCCTTGCGAAAATAGTACGATGAGGCTGTGTCCTTTCAGGATACAACGTTCTATAAATTGCGCATGCTATATCGGAATTTCTATTATTTTTTAAGTAAACATCATACATATCTCGTGTTTCCTCACTTGTAAATATCTTGTGGACCTTAATACACTTTACTCTATCTATTATAAATGTTTGTGTCCAGATTTGATACTTAATAGTGTAAACAAAAATTAACTTGCTGACATATAAAGTGTCAATGAAATTTCCAAGGCAGACTTGATCTTTTTAGCGAATTTTTTAAAAATATATTTTTTTATTATTTTTTGTTCTATCTAATAGTACAAAAATTCAAAATGGCGGCCATAAGAAAACAAAAAGTTGACTGTTGTTGTGCGAAATCTAGAAGGCTTAGACATTTTCTGAAAACGGCATTTAATTGGCCGAAGTCAAAAATATAAAACTACCAACTTACGTTGCAATAGAATCAATAGTTCTGAAGATATTGTCATTTAAAATAAACGTATAATTTTCATTTTTTGACATAAATCCGAAACTAATCAAGATACCGGGGTTTTCTTCATAGGTGTTTGTCAAACTTCTAATTACGCAACTTTTATCCCATTTAACCGAATTCCTATGTCTCGTAGTTTCTGAGATGCCAGTGTTGAGCATCGAAATTGTCACCACCCTATATACCTATAGTATTACTATAACAAAGGAATGTCGAACGAACTTTGATAATTTCTACTCAAGGTATACATATACTACGGTAACTTATACCTATATCTAGTCTGACTTACCAGAAAATCATTTTCTTCTCTAGATAACCCTCCAATTTTTAATTTAGTAGTATAATACATTATCTCATAAACAGTAAAGTAATCTAGTAAGTGGTCATCCTGTAGAATGTAACAGGAATAATTTCTATAATCAGAACTAGCTTTTTTCCTCTTTTTTCCTCTTTCATTACTACATTTTATAATACCTTGAATACCAGATTTTCTGAAACAAAGGGATTGAAAATATATTAATGTTTGAATGATTACTCAATTAGATGTATATACAATATTTATAAATAGTAATATTTTCTTGCCTTTAGCTGGGGCCGGTGAACGAGCCGAAAAACGCTCCTGACCATCTTTTGACGGGAGATGCGCTAAAATCTCACCGACACTTTACGACATCGTCGATTGATGTTGAAAAAGTTTTGTTTGCCGTGTCGGTGAGAACCAGCCCCTGAACAGACCACCTGATGAAGGGTAGGCCCAGAAACCGGTTTTGGGAGTAGTGCTTCAATCCCCCCTTTACGACAAACAAAACAATGTTCTTTTTACATTTATTTTTTTTTCTACTTTCGATTTTTCAAAATTAGAAAAAAATATACAGCTAAAGGCAAGAAAATATTACTATTTATTAATATACACTAAGGCTGTAAGAATTTTGTTCATTTCATATCAATATTTATTATAAAGAAAAACATTTTCAAATATCATGACATGACAAATATTATGAATATGAACCAAGCCTAATTTATCCTCGATCTGAGTAAAATTTTGCATGAAGTTAGTACTAATAACAATATTAAAATTAATCCACCATAATACAATTAAACTTGAAAGAGATAGAATACAAAAATTTAGCTTCACCAATTTGTCAAGAAAATAAATTATAATCATAATCAAAGGCATATGGATTATTTCGACTACAAGACAGTTCTAATGAAAAAATACATTAGAATTATTTCAACTGAAATTTATTGATCGTAATTACTAAAATATGCTACAGAACCATAAAGGTCTAGAAATACGTAACGAATATTAACCTAACCGTGTTAAGGTAGTATCAGACACAGCTACTTTTGTTGCGCATTTTTTTTGCTGCCGCTTCAAAAGTTGCATAAAGTGTTCATACACCAGCAGAATGTAGTCCAAAACGCGCAGTTTTTATGCGGCAGTTGCTTAAAAAAGTTGCAGGTCACCATTACATGCTTTTCATATGTTCACACCAAAGCGCTACTTTTGCAACATATTTTGGTAGCCGCAGCCTTAGAGGGGCAACATTCAACACTACACCACCCACAGCTCAAGGTACTAGCGTGTGTGTACCTTTTGGGAGAGCAAACCGGATTTAGAACTTTTCATTTTGAACGTTCTTTCGAATATTATGCACGCAACGTGTGAATTTTCTTTTTTATGTCTTCATCGGGCATATGTAATTCAGAAGAAATTTCCGAAATAGCGGCTCGTCTTTTCCTTTGGTTGTGATAGAATGGACTTTTTTTACGTTCGATAAACACTCCTTTGCTTCTACCGCTTCTATTAAACATTTTACTTGTTCTCTGTTCCAAATCGCTTGTTTTGACTTCGACGACACACAGCGTGACGAAATTGAAAAACAATGGACATCAATGATTTTAAATTATCGAATGTTAGTATTGATATAATTACCATGAATATTGATAAAATTGAGCGAAAATATTTTTTCAATTTATTATTACAGAGCTTATAAGTTTATTTAGAAACAAAAAAAATCCCAGATCTAAAGAAATGCTAAAAATAAAAAAAAACATATTCTTACCTAATTGTAAATAATGTTAATCCGAATCATTATCCTCATCTCCTACTTCCATATCCATATCATCTAATAATTCCTGCGCTGGATATAGTGAGAAATTCTTTTTCCAACTGTATTTTCGTCTAATAGATGAAATTAGTGGGTCTGACGAAATTAACAAATTATGCAAAATATCTTCCATGTTTTGTTTTCTACCAATTTTTCTTGAAAAGTTTTGACGGAATGTCCTAAATTCTTTATTTCCAGCTTCGGAAGCTTCTTCGGTCAATTTCCCAATTGGAATCAAGTTAAAATGTTTACAAATGTCTGCACCATGTATCAAAAGGATGTGAACACTTGAGGGCATATAATACCAGCTGTATAAAGATATGTACATCTCTGCAGTGACATTCAAGTACGCACGAAACTTTTCGAAATTAATTTATTTCTCACATGAAGTGACTTGAAGGATAACTGCAAACCGATAAATTAGGTTGCTGTCTATACCAGTTATTCGCGAGGTTACTTCGTGATTTCTGAAGAAAGTTCTGGCCGTGTTGCCATCGTTTGTTGTTTCATGTCCTTGTTTAACGACATCCAATATTATTCCTAGCTCATCTCTAAAGGCTTTTTTAATTGCTTTCTTTCTTTCTTCTTTCAAGGTTTTGTTTTCTCCCTTTGCAGACCATGACTTAAAATCTATATTGTATGCAATATGAAGGAGACATTCCATACATCTTATCCACAAATGAAGAGTTGAAAGTCCATACTTATAAATATCTTCCCTTAAAGGTTTTTTATAAACATCCAAAAGATTATTCATTTCAGAAGGTTTGGTAAGACAAATAGGACAAGTGGATGAAGACGATGTTTCAGATATTATGGTGCGAATTTTGCCGTCTATCATAGTCAAATGAAGATCGTGCTTAATAATAATATCTACATTGCAATATGTTGGAATAAGATTTTCGATTTCGGTTTGCATATCTTTAAACTGTTGAGTAACCATATCAGTAAACTCAAACTTTATCGGTCTACAATATCGCGTTGATGCGGGTGCAGGATTTTCCCATATAGTTCTACTACCCATTTTCAAATGGAGAGTTACACAACTTGTTATGAACACCGAAGATTCTTCCTGTTCTGAATTTTCGCGGTCTTCAAATTTTTGTTTATATATGCTCTGACTAGATGCACCATCAAAACCCCATTTAGTAGTGAGAATTAATTGTGAATTTGGCTGTATGTTCAAGTTGCAAGTTTCAATAGCTGTTAGATCTAGAATTGATTGTAAGCGTATCTTTGCCATTTTCTCTGTTACAACAACATCTTCTTGTGGTGGATAACAATTTTCCTTTTCTTTTTTAAGCTTGTAGTATGATGGTAGTATATTATTCCCCATATGTTCAATTGTAAAGTCTCTCAAAGTATTGTATTGATATGTTGATAATTTTAAGGAAGTCATTAAAGCAAGCGATTTTTCCGGATGAATGCAAATTGGTTTTTTTGAAGTTTTAAATAAAAAATCACTCATTTTTGTAACATCATCATCGTTTTCTAAAAGGTGCTATCCGAGAGGAGGTTTGATATTTTTTGTTCAAATTAACGCAAAAAAATCTTAAACATTCCGACAGAACTTTCGACGTTCCTTCGGAAAACAAAACACTCCACTGGGTCTTAACCGCATGCACTAGACTATTATGGTCTTTTAAACTAATATTCTTGTCTCGTAACATTAGAAACAAATCGCGATTTTTTTGTAATTTCTACATCTCGAAAATGCTGACCACACGGTGCTAGGAAAATACGACAACTAAATAAATATATCACAATACTTCAAAGAAATTCTTTTCTTGATTCAAGCCAAGACATTGGAATGTGTATAAAAACTAGAATTCTTTATGCGCCTTCATTTGAATCCGTATAGACTAATGCAAAATAAATGCCTTTGTGAAATAAAAGCATTTCTTTCTAAGAATATCAAATATTAGCAAATAAAAAATATAGGCTTTTTTTCCCTAAAGGTCTCTATCAAACAAGATATTTGCCAACTTAAACAAATCTAAACATTTTTTATAAGTCAACGGAAACATTAATTTTGTAAAAAAACGACTATAAACCAAAAGGAAAAACGTTTCGCGTCTTCTTATTGCATAATTTTTTGAAAAATTAACAGAAATACATTAGGTTTATAAATTTTGCACACAAAAAATAATTTTTAATCAAGCAATACTTTTGTAGCACATTTTTTTGTAAAATGGCCAAGGTTTTTGGCTAAATTTTTGTGACTTGCGGAAGGGCAAGTTTCAATTAAATTTATTCGGAAACTAAATGTTGTAAAAAAAATAATGTGAACCAACATAGCGTAGGGTATTGCCAATTTGTGCTGATGAAAAAAAATAGTACTTTTCAATGTTGACTTTATACTTAAATGTCCACTTTTTTCCCATATCGAAACAATGTGCGACATCGTAATTTGTCGGTTAATTCTTTACTAAATACCTACATAATAAATCCTAGAGTTAACTGAAAAAAAGTGTAAAAGTTTCAACTGATTAGTAATCTTTTTCTGCACTTGCAACCTTCCTCAACAACTGTTCACACACGACTATTTCTTAAACTGCGCGCAACAAAAAAGTAGCCTACGCAACCAAGCTGCGTTCGCAAAGTTGCAGGTTGTCTACAGTACGTCTGTCCGTTCTGTAGCTACGCGGTATACGGGAGAGGGGAAACGATATTCTCTCGATGTTTTTCGTAAAAAATTAGACGACGCGTCCCATCAATAAAAATTCGACAAATTTGCAAGTGGCCAATAAAATGAGTGGGCGGAGCGATTTGCGGTGACGTACTCGTTAAGTCGACGTATAAAATATATTGCTGTTTATTTAAATGTGTTTTTGTCCGCATTCCTTTCATAGACACAGATCCAGCAGTTGTACTGTAGGTATTCACACTTGCAGCAGATCAAGTTGCGCAGTTTTTTAATGTGCTGCGCAACAAAAGTAGCTATGTCTGACACTAACTTTAACGTATATCATCAACAATGATTAAAACACGGTGTAAATGACATATTACTGTCCAATTTATTATCCATTAATAGGTATATAAAATTAAAGTACTATATTTAATGTATATTATATATATATACAGTAACATGTCTATAACTAATATACAGGGTCCGGCAATAGTGCGTCGGGCATCTGTAGCTCCTAGAATAAAAAACTTGAGAATTTTGTTTTAGTGCAAACCTAAAGTATGTACCAGGATGTATTGCTGGAAAATATTTTAACTTCTATAGGGTGGCTCAAAAAAGTGTGAGTGGATCGGGATGATTTTTTTAATTGGAACACCCTGTATATTGTTGCATTTTTGGCTTCCTTTTAGATCACTTTACGTAGTCCTAAGACATGAGTAAATATATTTCGATAATTTCAGAGATATTAATAAAT